TTCAGTTTAGATCAATTCTTTTCAATTGTAGTCATTATTTTGTGCTTTGTGCTATTTATTTGCATTATATATGAAATAATTAAGATATTGAAAGAGTTTAAAAATATTTTCAATCTATTTTTCTTAATCATGTAAATAATGAAGGCTACAAATTCTAAGTACTCTTTAGAAAGTTATGAGATCATTTTTGTTAGTTGATTTTAGTCTTAGGTCAATATCAGCATGGTTTAACATATCAAGTAATCTATTGTTTGATTTTGTTTTAAAAGTAAATTCAGCTATATGTTCAGTGATGTTTAATTTACAGGATTAGGTAATATTGTTTTGTGGGGATATATTAATAAGGCATCAACAATATATTGGAAGTATTTAGGTTAAGATATTTTGGAAAGAATCCATTTCTTGACATTCTAATGCACCACCAGGAGGTGATCCCATTGTTAAACCAAACTTTTGTCTAAATCTTTATCATTTTGTTTTTTGGTAAAGATAGTTTAGTTTTTGATTTTAGAAGACTTTTTTGGTGTGTCCCTGTATAGGTATTTAATATCTAAACTAGTTATGTGTTTATCATTCATAATTACGTGTTTTAGTTTTTCAACAAGGTTACAATATTTTGAAATATCTGAAAAGCTAATTGTTCCAAGTGGAAAAAATGTTTTTTTACTTTACATTTTTGTCTGTTTTGTGCATTTTGGGTGCTATTCAATCAATTTTGACCTCATTATTAACTGTCTAAATGATTTGTGAAATTTTATATCTCAGAAATCATTTTATGTTCATTGATTTTGTCTCAAATGCTGGCATCATTGTTTTTTTGTTTATTGAAATATGTGCATATATATTCATATATGGTCTGACAATTGCGCTTAAGTATGAAACACTGTTGCCATCCAGTGTTGATATCTATATCCACACTACTTATATTTAAATATGCTCAGTACTTGATATTGAGAACTCCCCCCCCCATAAAGGAAGCATACCTTAAAAACTATATTTTGTCATATATAGACAGGCATGTTGTGTATATACATATGTTTCTAATGACAGATTTTCATGTTTTAGGGAACTGTCTGAAAAAGAAATTTTTTTCTCAAGAAGTTATACTTTTTTGTGATGTTAACTTCCTTGGTAGACAAGTGAATTGAGGAATTGGTCAATACTGCCATAATTTAAAAAACAAAAAAAAGTTATTGGAAAAATACCAAAAATCTTGTTTTGCAAATATTCATTTTCATAATTTCTAACCAGAATTAAGCGCTTTAAAAAAAAAAAAAAAAAAAGAGTCAATACTAACATTTCTGTTGTCAGTTATGCTATTTAAATATAAGTTAAATATTTAAATTTCTGTAAAAATCTTCAAAAAAATTAAAGGTGCAGTCAAAGAAATATTATTTCATATAAAAAATAATTTAGTGATTTCAAAACTGAAAAAAAAAAAAAATTGCTATTCTTTGTTTGACAAAACACAGGTCAAAGATCAAAGTGGTGATGGGGAGAATGTAGGTTTTAAAGTATCAACTGAAAGATGAGCATTACAAATGATGGCCAGGCTGATGAAAATGTTTATAGTATGAATGTTGAAAATAAGAATTAATATTGTCTTCTGCAAACAAGTTTTCAAGGACATTAAGGAAAAATTTTTTTTCAATTTTATAAAATACATCTATTGGATACTTTAGTACACATCAGTGATGTTTCTAACCAAGGTTCATTAGGGGCTTCAGGTCTTTTAATAAAAAGATCTTGCTCTGAACTAATTTCAGAAAATATTTAGGCATTTTTTTTTTAAATTATGCAACCTTCAAATTTAAAAACAAGAATTTAAGTGCATTTTCATTTATTCAAATTCTTTGCAAAAATTGTTATATCACTTTATTTTTAATATTTTATTTTCTTGACAGCTGGATGTGCAGATTATATAAGTTATCAGAATAGAAATTGGTATTGATAAGCTGAATTCAAATTCTGGCCTTGTCTGCTGTATGATTCCATTTCTTCTATACTTAGCCATAAGTCAAATAAAAATGCTGGGTGCTTGAGCCTTTGTTGGTATCCAGTCCAGAAAGGCAAGTCTGACTGTAAAACTCAAATCAAATCAACAATACCTGCTGATTTTTTTTTTCAAATAAAGTAAAAAGAATTATATTTAATTTTTAAGTATCATTTCTGTGTGTAGCTAGTAACTGAAAAGAGAATTACACAATTTTTTTTCTCCAAATTTTATGCCTAATAAAATGCATTTGATTATTAAACTTCTTGTTTTCAAATTTCTGTAATTATATTTACGCAATTCACAATATCGTCAGAGTGGAACTTGTTTCGTTATAAATTATAAAATAACTGTTATTCTCTTTTACTATTTTGTTACAAGTACATTATGCATGCTAAATGACATCATTTCAAGGAATTATTTTAGCACATAATGCTCAACAATTTTAGTTTCAGGAACAAATTTTAACCAGACATGTTTATTCTGCTTGTAATTTCTAATTAGCTATTCTACCATAGGGATAGGTTAATGATTAAAATATAACCTTTCTACTCTTCAAATCAAATATTGTTTTAAAAAAGTTTTTAAATTGGTTTCTTATTGTAAACTTGTTAAACTTTATGAATACCAAATTTCTTGTAATAAGAAATATTGAAATTGAATTATCTACCAGTAAAGTTGATAAGGCATTGAATATACTTTAATATTGTTTACATTCAGAAAAATGTCCTCATCTTTATTATCCCATTTTGGTTATTGTTCCTTCCAGCCTTCTTCAGGTGTCTGTTGACCCAGTTAGCTTTCAGGGAATTTTGAACAGGATTCTTTATTTAATCCATGAGGGTAGATTATTCTGGTTCTACTGCCCATGTCTAGACTGATCTCGTTCTGTCCTTTTTTTTTTCTTTTTTTTTAAAAGTATCATTCATTTCCACTCAATTCAAACTATTCAGCCCTGGGACGGAACTAACAATTACTATGCCATCAAATTCATGAACCAACATTTTAATCTACTAGCTTAGTGAAGTACAATGTTGTAAACAATAAGTGCTAATAAGCACTAAATAAGAACAAGATATAGCATGTCTACACATAGATGGTGGAGCAAGAACAATCTACTCATGTAGATTAACAAAGGATTCAGGTTGAAATTAAAACCTGAAGGTTACTCAGATCAACAGTCACCTGAAGAACGGTGAGAGATACAATGGTCAAAACATTGAGATAACCACAACAAATATGGGGATATTAGTCTGAATGAAATAACTTCTCCCAAAAATCCAGACAGGAATTATCTTCAGTCATATCTAAAACAATTGAGATTACATTTCATAATTTTTAGAAATAAGCTTAAAAAATTCCATTATTAAGTGGGTGGGGAGAGAAGTGCCAACATCAGTCTATTTATATTCTTTGTAGTTAAAAGTGGATAGAATATATATATATGTATATATACACATACATACATACACACACAAATGATAATTCTGGAAGCAACATCGGCTGAAAATATTGATAAATTGAATTATCAGCTGACTGATGTATTTTAGTTTGTGTATAAAACTAATTTCTTTTTAGAAATAATATTAATATCTAATGCTTCTTACAACTAACTTTTTCCATATAAATTCAACCATTACAGCAAAAACACATTTTAAGGTTAGTGTTCTGTTTGAAAAATTATTGGAACTGATTTTTTAAGTTAAAAGTGTTAATCTGACATAAGACATTATTTTTATTGGCAAACAAGTTTATGATTTGATCATATAAGTTAATTCATTAGACACATCTACATATTCATGTTACAAATTTAGGTACATAATCCTGACAGTTATAAGTTACTGAAATGTGTAGTCGGATATTATTTTCAAAACATACTTTCATGAACGTTTTTCCAAATGTCAATAATTTATGTAAATAGTTACATTCAGGAGACAATAAATTGTAGTGAATTCTTTTAATATCAAAAGATCTACTGCCAATATCTAGTCTAGTAGTCATTAAGAAAATTTCCTGTAAAGTAAATAGGTTCTGGTAAAGTAAACCAGCTGATTTTCATGAATACTTAGTGAACACTGAAGATTTGTATTGTGAGAAATTGAAATGTAAAACTCCATAGGACATCAAGTCAAAAGTGGTAAGTCCTAGTTTTGTAATTATTTATTAGCTTCATTTTTTTTTACTGTAATGTTTTTGGTTGTTATCACTAACAAGACATATCCTTTATTTATGTGCTTTTGAAGTTTAGTAAGAACCTTTCTATAATAACTTATCACGTCAGAAATTGTGCCACAGAGAATTTGAATGTAACTGTAAATTTATACTAAGATATAATTGATGCTGAAATTTTTGAGATGAGAAATTTAGATGCCTTTTCATTTAGATTAAAATGCACATTTTGGTTGTTATATTAACATTTTACCATCCAGCCTTCTTTAGTTGTGTTATGCTTGAAAACCTTAGAAATTTGAACTGAACAGAGGTAGATTGTTATTTCACGTTCCATGCTTAGGGGAGATAATTCATTAATTCTCTCCAGTCTATCAGCCTTTGTATTGCTTTTATCTTCCACTGAAGAGAATTAACTTTTCCTCACTACTCCACTGAGAGATCGAACTCCCTATGGCCAGAGATCCAAATCTTTTAACCAAAGTTTGAATACACTTAGCCATGTCTTTTTTGGATGATCCAGTGGTGTATTTTTTGAGCCTGTTTATCAAGCTTCCTATGGTAGAGACAAATTTGAATTAGGCCACTAAGAGAAAATAAGAGTCCTGATGGATATGATGATGGAGATGTTGACATTGCATGTGCAAACTTTTTCTAATTAGATTTTAGCATATATGGACAGAAATATGGTTAAGGTACGTGACTGACTTTATCTCCAGTAATGACAAACATATACAGGGAATAGTTTGAGAAAATTGCTATTGGAACATCACCAATAAAACCAACCATATGGTTTTGCTATACAGGTAACACCTTGATACTCTGGCTTAACTCGGATTATGGCCATATCATGATGAAACATTGGTCCCCGTAGAATCATTGAAGTTAAGCAACATAAAGCCTGGTCAGTACCTAGATGGGTGACCACTTGGGAATACCAGCTTGGATATGTGTGTGGTATAATGGCTTGGAATTGTTTTATTAATATTCTCAACTGTTCCAATTCCAGTCTGTTATATTCACTTATGCACAATTAACCATAGGAATGGTATGAATTCACTTTTCTCCCTAGCTGTGGGTTAATTAGTAAGGCTTGTATCACTAAATCTTTATCTAAAAAAAAAAAAAAAAAATCTTTTTACAATCTAAAAATGTTTTATAGCTTTAAATAAATTGCAAAAGGTTGATAAGCTGTAGAAAAACAATCAATTTGGCTCTACCAGGAAGATATGCAAGCACCACTGGAATATAAATAAATGGTGCACCCAGACACATACCAACAACAGATGATCAGCCTTAGAAACACTCTTCAGAGTAACAACTACTCTGCAAGAATAACATGAACTTCCATGAGCAGAGACAGAACAGTTGAGAATATTAATAAAAATTTGCCATAGGATCTGCTGTTCATAACAATATTAGGATAGTATTCACATACAGAAATGTCTCTCCTAATCCAAGCTGTCAAGAAAACAACCAAAACATGTGTAAGAGTAAAGGAACATCAAAAATCTCTCCATAGATTAGGATGGTATTCACATTCCATTCAACCCACTGAAGATGTCTCTTGGATTAAACCCCACCCCCCACTATGAGATTTTGAAAATCATACATGGCTGATCACTTACAGGGAAAAGGGTGATCATCAATCCTTGTAGAATGAAGTTGACAGAAAGAATCAAAGCATATTAGGCCAACTGAGAAAATTGTTAGGACCTACCATAGATATGAACATTTTCTAGGCACACTTGATTAATAAAGAAAGGACACTCAAAAATTCTATTACATAAGTACAAACATTAGGTTTCAGGCTTCAAAATTACATCACTGGATTGTCCATGAGATTAAAACATCAGATAAAGCATATATGTTTTTTAGCAGTCGTAAATTCCATCTCTTGATTGGGTAGTAAGGAAAAGTGAAATAACCTAGTTCAGTAGAAGAAATGGACATGTGACACAAAGGTAAATAAGTAGATGTTCTCAGGAAGAATGAGAATAATCTACTCCTGCAAACTGAATAAAGAGTTCAAAATTCTGAGGAAGTTAGAGTGTATGACAAACACATTAACAAATGTTGAGAGTATAACAATCAAGATGAGCATGAGTCTGAGTGGAATGACATACAAGATAAATATCCAAATAATACTTAGTAAATTTGCTATGTAACAGATTGAAATTTGAAGTTTAATATGAAATTAAATAATCATCATATTGTGACAGAGAGAGAGTCTGGGAAACAGACACACACGTGTGTGTGTGTGTGTGTGTATTTTTAGTGAAATTGGAGTAGATTTGAATAGCAAAATTAAATCAGAGCATTTTTTTTTTTTTTTTTACTGATGGGGAAATCTGATCTGGGGCAGAAGTTGTACCCATTGAATTTGGGTCATCAGGAGACAATGGAAATGGTCGAAATAATTTTTATCGATTAAAAATTGAAATAGAGCTGAATAAGCTAGAAGGAACTTTGGAATTCACATGATTTTGGTTGAAGCAGCCAGAACCCCATGATAATTGCGTGCAAAGTAGTAGGGCCGAGGGTCAGTTATAACTAGCCGGGTTTATCTATATAAACACGCAGTTATGCTGAAAAAGACAGACGGGAGAAAATTCTTGAAGAGAGAATTGGCCCAGGCAAGTGTTGGGAGGAGGAACGCCACTATAACTTTAAGCCCAACACAGAAATCTTTATCCCTCCATCACAAGAGTCATATATCCGAGACGATTTAACAAGATAATTACATACACACTGTCTAGAATCCAGTGTATGAGGTTTTTTTTTTTTTTTTTTTTTTTTTACTTTTCTTTTCTGTAACCTGTTTCTCTTTTCTACTATTCTTTTCTGCTATATAAAAGACATTATCAATTCAACCATTGAATCAATGTTTGTCCGGCTTTCTGCAGATATTAATTTTTTTTTTTTTTTTGCTGTATTCTAAATTTCTTAGTGCAGACTTCCCAGCTGTGTCTACATCTTCAGTCAACCGTGAATGGACGAACATCACTTCTGCTTTCTGGATCAAACAAATCACAATATGGGCAGGAAGCAGGATTAAACCAGTGGACCGGTCAAATAATCTATGGATGCTCAGGGGACTTATGGCCACTCCCTTAAGTTCAGTTAGGACCAAGTAGACACCTCAACCCCAAGAGTAAGACGCCGGAGATTGAGGGGCCGGGGCGAAAGTGTTAGAATATAGAAAGAATGTTTCAGATGTTGGAGAAAACAGATTAACACTATGTATTAAATGAATAAACCAGACATTTTCACTTTTATCATAAAAATATCTCTTTGAGTTCATTTGCAACAGTGAATTTAATAATTTATATTATTAATATGAAAATATTTTCAAGAATATCTTTTGATGTTTCATTCAGGAAAATAGTGATATCATAAAGATCTGTATTTAGACTAAATATTAAGTCCTAATTTATATTTTGCTAAAGAAAAAGGTTCTCCAAGTTGTGACAAGAGATAATTAACAATATCATAAGTAACACAGTTAATTTTTATAAGACACTCATGATTTTAAAATTGATAACATTAAAACACCTTACTTTTGGAGGCTAGGAGTAAACTATTTATGAAAAAAAGTAATTTTATGAAACCAGATGACACATTGTAAGTGTTTAATTTGGGCTTAAATTTAATGTAAACTTATACATATGTTTAAATTTAGTATAAAAAAAGATTAACTGAAGTTAACATATCTAGGAATTCTCATTTATTTTCCAGTATTATTTTACTTGGCTAGAGAAGGGAAGTTTACTTCTGTGTATGAACATAATAAGAGATAGCATAAATTTATTAAGTTTATCAGAGTAATCCATTTAATAAGCAACATTTTAAAATTATTTTTGATTAACACTCTCATAATGTATAGTTGAACTTTGATAAAATGGTTTTATAATTAAATTGTTTAGGATTTACACTGTCTGCACTGACAAACCTGTGTTATGCTGAAGAAATCCTAGGATATCAAATTTCAAATACAAAGTCAAGTTTGTGAACAAAAAGGCAATTTCTTGTCCAAATTATCAAATCATATATAAATAAAAATTAGGACATAACAATGAGAATACATTAAATTGTTTTATTAAAGTGACCAGAGGAACTTGGGTTGCAGTATTTCAGTGATGGCAGAGACTATACTAGGATCCACTTCCAGTCTCAGGTAAGAGTCCAGAACATTTACAAAACTTCTCCATTGTGAAGAACATGGCTATACAAGCCATTAACAAAATGCTCTTCAATTTTCATCCTGCTGCCTTAATCTTAATGCAAGGAAATCCATAGGCTTGCTAAATGTTGATATTGTTAAAGAAATCCAAAGTTAGTGATGTCCTAGCTACAAACTTTGAAGGGTTAATGTATTTTGGTGCTGGCTCCCAACATTCAGGAGGTTACCACTGACAACAACAACAAAACAACCACCACCAGATGACAAAGCAAATTAAATGACAGGAGGTAGTTGGGCAAAATAATTACAAGTATTGAGGATTTGTTGATGCATGACTTTGGTAAGCAAGAAAATCCTAAATGATAAAAGCAATAGTTGATGAGTAATTAAAAAGGCAAGAGTAGAGAAATAAGTTTTGAAGAAAGCAGGTACAGAAAAAATATTTGGCACTAGCTAGCCAAGTGTTTGGTGGGAGGGTTACATTATAAGAGGAGAATAATAGCAACGATGAAGGCATGAATGATTGAGGCAAGCTATGGCGGTGATTTTGAGCTTGTAATGGAAAAAAGAGAAATGGAACCACAAGTAATATCTTCACAGCTAATACAAAAACAGGACTCAGCTTTAAGTCCATTAACATGGAATGATTTCATTTCCTTAACTAACATCACAGAAATATTTTAGGTTGTTGAAAAAACCAAGAGAAAAATATTTTACACTAATATGAAAAATTTCTTAATTCATAAATTGTTTTTTAGCAGAGAAATCACAAAAAGATTTACTGTTCCATTGTTCTGATTGACAAGTACATGGTCCCTTCCTATTCAATAATATGAATTCAACAGTTAGTGTGTAGAATTACTGAAGAGATGAAGAATGGATTGGAGTAATTAGGACAAAAAGAAACTGATGCATATTGGGATAGATGAAATTAGGAATTAAGCATCTCCAAAAGGCAAATGTAAGAGCATACATATTTTTGATTCAGCTAATGCAAGCTTAATATAACTAAAAAAAATCTATTTACACAAGTTTATGTATACTTACTACAGTTCTTTTTTGCCTGTCATGTTACCAATGTTTAGTAAAATAATATTTGCCTACATTCTTCACACAAATGATGAGGAGTTGAAATGAAACATAGGTAATGAGACCACAAATTTATGTAACAATTGCACAACATTTTAACAAATTCAACATTTGCTTTCCTTCAGAAATATGTCTGATACACAAATGCACAGATAGCAGCAAAAGAAAGAAATCAGACACAGCTGTTCATTCTTACTAGCAGATTATGAGGTGAGTCAAGTAGCCACCATGGCAATAATTGACAATATGTAACATTTGAATGGAAATAGTGATCAATGGCAGTATCACACAACAGCAGCAGCAGCAGCAGTAGTAGTAGTAGTAGCCACCTTCTCTGGAGATTACATGCCGCCACATGCTGGGTGAATGACACGAATTGTAGTGGGTGACTACATTATCAAGTGATAAAAATAAGAATGTTAAAACTTTTAAAAATGCTTCTACAGATGGTAAGATTCATTTATGTCAAATATAAATGGATAAGCCAATGACAAGTATTGTAGCTAAATTTGAAATTGCAAAACTTGCTTATCCATTATTTTAAAAGGACTGTCATTTATTTAATAGAGCAGTAACAAGAGCAGGACATTTAAATGCTAACAATTTGCTCAAAACTTCAGATAAAAGGAAAGAATCATCTGATGATAAGTTTATCATGGAAATAATTAATCTTAATTTACTGAAGTTATAGAAATTAGGCAGAATTAAAATGTTATTACCCCACTTTTTATGAATTATTTCCTTTTACTTTAATCTATTAGACAAATAGAAATAGAGTCATCTAAAGATTTCCATTTGAAATGATCATCATACAGTGAAGTGAGAGTGACTAAAATAAGGAGTTGAATAGAAAGTTAATGAGAGAGAATATCACTCAAAGTTATAATCAAGAAAAGCAACCAAAGTAGTAGGATTTGCAGTTGTGCTAGACTGATGATCTCTTCCAACAAAGAAAATGTTAAAGAAATGGAGTTGCACTTCTACATGTTTGTAATGCATCAATAGAGTTTATTATAAATTAAAATTAAATGATCAGGTGAGACAAATGAGAAAAAGAAAAGACTAATTGCTATGAAGTAATCAGAGAAGGAACCATCTGTGCCAACAGTTTTGGGATAGCCTGCAGAATATGAGAAAACTACAACAAATGGTGATGTATCCTTAACAGATTTGCTGAGAAATAATTAAAATCTAAAATACAATCTAACATGAATGCATATTTACTGAAGAGTGTTTGAATTATGAGTGATAAAATGAAAAATGTTTTAATTTCCTCTTCCAAGAAAATTAGGAAACATATTTAAAAACTATAAAATGCTGTTAACAAAAAGAGAGTTACTTAAAAGCTAAAGTTATGTTGTTGTTGTCATAAATATGGCAGTGACCTTCATAGATGCAGCAGCAGCAGCAGCTGTGAAAACTGGGTGGGAAGATATCCATGGATGTAAGGCTCACATGAAAAAAAGGAAGGCACCTGATTTCTTGTAGTAAGACACTGTTATCCCTGAGTTTAACCAATGTGTCCTGGCAGGAGGGGCAAATTGTGCTGGTGTTCTAAAGCCAAGTTGCAGTCTTCAACAAGAGAAAGAAGAAAGGCTTGAAGATGGAGGAAAATAGAAAAAGTAAGAGAAAAAGTAACTGTATTGCCTTTTGAATGGGTTTTGGTTTCCTCAGAAAAAAATATAGCTGCCTTGGTCAAGATGTCTGGCTTCAATGGTGAAGTGTGGCTATAGGAAGTGCTGACTGGAAGAGAGAGAGAAAGAGAGAGAGAGAGAGACAAAAGGCAGAGTTTGAATCACAGGCACTGCTGCTGCTGCTTGGTAATGATAATATGAGAAAGGATTAATAGTCAGCATGGTTCCTTTCACTGCCCAAGCCAACCTTGATTGCAATCATGTACCAGTAGAGAACAGTAATATTCTTGTGCAACACTAGACTACTTGTCAGGTTTAGTTGCTAACTAATAATAATAATAATAATAATAATAATAATAATTATAAACAGCCAGTCCAATAGCCACAATAATAAATAAATAGATTTTTAGATGAAGCTAGTTAAGACTGCCTTTATCTACTATCATCCAAAGTGATGGATTGACAAAAACTTGTATAGCATTTCCACTCATAGCCAGATCAAAGACACTAACAGGCAGAAAAGTAGTCAATGTATCATAAAATAAAGAACGAAAAAAGGAATTTATTATCCAAATATTATCTAAGGATAACTAAGAGGATGGAATCAACCAACCTTGCTGCCATGTTGAGTAATATTAGCTAAAAAAATTAAATATACTGGAATAAAGATTTGATCTTGAGTTTTTTCTATTAGAGAAAATAGAAATGTCAACATAATAAATTTTTAACACATCATGCATAGCAGAGAATAGAAGACAATAATGTACTGTATGAAAGTAGAATTAAACTTAGTTGAATGTGTCACTGAAAGTCCTGAAAGCAGATCTTTACAAATGTGCAATCATTCAGTCGAGAGAGAGAGAGAATAGCGCAAGTATTTGCAGTAGGAAAGTCAAGTGGTAGTATAATTGGAATGGAAAATAAAAAGCCTTAACACAAGACAATCCCTGTGAGCAATGTGCTGAGCCTTGAAGAATAAATCAGCAAGCTGTTAACAGAAAAGATGTGACAAAAGAACTCTTCTTTCTAAATAGCAAAGGAAATAGCACTATTTTAACATATAAAGTAATTGGAATGCATTATCAATTTTTTTAATTAAATTATTAAGTCTCCTACAAAGAAGTATTTCTAAGTTTTAGCACTATGAAGTACTTTGATAGCCATAAAAATTAAACTAAAAGAAATAATTAGCAATTAATTATCATTGGACAGTAAAAAAAAATGTTAAATGGAACTAAAGGAGAAATATGAAAATTCACCTCAAAATTTAGTTTTTAGCAGTTATATTCTCTCCAATTGATTGGTTAAAATATTTTTCATAGCCTCTATCAATCTGAAAAGGCTGAAAATTACAGTGTTTTCCACTTGAATAATGAAAACAGAAATCTTTCATTAAAAAAGTAATGAAAAGGCGATGTTATATATTCTGTTGAGAAAAATTTGCTAAATAAAAAAAAAACTATCAAACTAACAATAGTGTAATAAGAGCAACTTGAGAGAAATTAAATTTTGAACTAAACTTTTTTCAAAATTAAAAGAATGGAAGTATTTCTACTGAGGCAAATACAGATTTAGCAAACTAATGTTAGGTGATAGAAAAATGGGAAATAGGTTTTATAATCTATAAAGATTTGATAATCATTTGAACCAGTGGAATGTGGATGAAACTGCATTAGCACTAAGCTATAATTTGTGTGTATGAGATTTGTTAGGCAAGTAACAAAGTCCTAAATTTAAACAGGGCAGCACAATGCAAATGGGGAACAGCCAGCTGATATTTGTTTTAAAAGAGCAAAGGACAATAAAATAGAAAGGAAATGGGTGGATAGCTTTAATTTATTATCTTAGAATTCAATGCTTAATGGTATTTTCCTTTTGAAACCTGGTATAATATGAGTGAAGGCAGGTGAGAGGGCAGTGAAGGCAAACTTGGGGCAGCACCATGCTGCCCGAATATCAAACACGACTGACTGCTCAAGTTCTCCCACTTTTTCTTATGTTGAACATTCTCTACAGTTATAGCATCCATCATATTGCTGAGTGTAGAAATGCACACTGAAGAGATTCTATCTAACCAGTTTTTATCATTGGCAGCAACAAAATGTTGGTGAGTAGTGGTCAGTAGTTGTGGATCAAAGTGAATCAAACAAGTCAAATGGCAGAAGGGTTTATTTTTCCCTGGTCAGTGGATGTCCAGCAAGCAGGTCAACATCATTGAGGGAATGGGGTAATTGTTTCTGGCAGAGACCATCTTAGTCTGGCACAATCAACATCCATTTGCACAGTTGGAAAAGAGTGGGGAAACAGGAAAAAAATATCATGATTGATTATATCCATCACTTTTATAACAGCATATGGTCCCACTCTCCCAGCCAACCATCTGTGCAGCTAAGTGTGGCTCTGTGAGCAACTCACAACTATACACACACAAGAAATATTGTACAATTTAGACAAAAAGGCAACATCAGTATGTACAAGAAACAACTTCCAAAATATATTTTAGGATTTCTCAACATTTATATGTATTCTTCTGAATGCAAATTCAGATTTTATTTATTTCTGGGAATCTGTAGTATAGCAGCTGAAACCTCAGTTTTTTTTTTTTTCTCTTCTCATTTTTTGTTGAAAAATCTTGATATGAGTAAGGGATGGGAAGAAAAAGAAAGTAAGTAAGAAGGAAAGGGAAGAGGCCAAGATTAAAAATCAGGATAATTCTGGTTCTAATACCTATGTACAAATATTTATAGGTAAATGACAACGTTGTCTGTGTTATCTTTATGAACCAATTTTTGTCTGGTCTGTACATAACTTTACCACTGTCCTGGCAGTTGAAAAGGAGATGGAGGGGAGAGGAAGAAGAAGAAAAAAAAAAGAATTTTAATTTTACAGTAAAATTCGTTGTTAAAAATTTTTCTTTTCCCTTTATTAACAATAGTTATATAGAAAAAGGAAAAGAGTGAGAGGGAGAGAGAGATGGTGGAAGAGAAAAAATTTGCAAACTACCAGGACACATACATCTACCTCCCAATATAACTGGCATTCAACCAACAAGTGTCATACTCTCACCATTCATACATGGTCATATATATATATATATATATATATATATATATATATATATATATATATATATGCCTGAAATGTCTTTCAAAACGGCAATGCTGCTAGGTTCAGGCATGGTAAAAATCCATAAAATTTTTAACAATAACACTTTACTGTGCTCATTACAGCATTGCTTTCCTGTACATTCATATAACTTTAGGAAGGAGGGAGAAAAAAAATAAATAAAGGGGAATTTTCTCTGCTAGTTTGTGATGGTATTAAACCCAAGAAATCTGCAGAGTTACTAGCCTTTTTTTTTTTCCTTTTTCTTTTTTTTTTTTTTTTTAAAATTATATGTGTGTGTTGCAAGAGTTCATGTTTATATATTGTTGCTTCCTTCTGGTGATGCCACCCACAGTTGGTATTCCAATACTCTGGTAAGAGTGAACTGCAAGCTGTGTTTCTATCTCGGAGAATGTAACAATTTAGGTTATAACAAACTGTCATGGTTGCATATCATCAGAGATTTTGGGCAGTCCACAAAGCAGACTATAGCTGCAGGCACTTTGCGATACAACAATCAACAAATCCTGCGGGCAGGCGTTTCAAGTTTTTTTCTTCATTTATTCTTCTCCCCCCCCCATAATTCATTTTAATTTCCAAACCGGTAATCCATGGTTGTGATGAATGAGAACAAACAAGAAAAACTTTTATTAAGAGTCACTGATGGAATGAGCATATCAGATGCAAACACAATAGCCTTGCTGCTGTTGGCAGAGTCATTTTTATTGACACTGCTATTTGAGAAATTATGTATGGTTCATTGTGAGAAGTCAATGAACCTGGTCAGCACTGAGAGCTGGAGGTTGGCTAGCTGATCATCACTGGTGCATACTCGCGGCTCGAAAAGCAGCTGTTAATAACACCATAAATTGCCAGCCTCCCAGAGACCTCCCTTTCTTGTTCATTTAACATGAACTGGGAGTGAATGCAAAGACTAGTTCATTATTAATTACTGGCTTTGATTTCTATACATAAACATGTCACTTTTGTTAACATTTATCTGATAATAACTGCTCAAGAAGACTTCCTCCTTTAACATCTGTTTTACGGTCTTCACATGGCTGAAAAAGATAGAGAAAAGTGAAACCTGTGAAGATTATGATTAAAAATGTTTACCTTAAAATTAAACTATCTTTTTTTCAAATAATAAATAAAATAAAAGCAAGATATAGTTTTAAAAAATTTAGATAATATAAAAAAAAACAAATGATTAAAAAATGGTTGGTGACTTAAAATAAAGCATTCCATAAAAATGTAAAATTGAATATTCTTAATTGAAATATCTGAGTCTTGTCAACCATTATCCATTTTTGACTAGTATTTGTTTCATCTTAAATTTACTTGCTTTCCATTACAAGTAATACTCTGATCATCAATCAGTTATCCTCAGTCCCAGGACCAGGTGTGGTTGTAGAGTTGGTGTTGTAGTTGAGCACCTGGTCAGTCTCCCAAGACAGGTCTAATGCCAATATCTGAGCCTCTAGTAGACAATATAGATTGAAAATAAAGGATAAGCTATTTACTAATACACAGAGATTGGGTGAATTGTTGCAATGAAAAGTAAGCTGTAGGAGAGAACCAAACCGCCATGAAAAAAGACCTTGACACTGGTGTGTCTAATGTTGATAAGGATTTTGTTCTCCCGAGTAGTTGGCTGTTTGGGGAAGGCAGTCTTTTAACAAAGATAGCATTGCTGCTAAATTTGCATGGACGTTGTTATGCTAATTTGCACAAGAATAGTAATTCTTGGTTATCAACAAATCATAGCCAATCTGTGATTCTGACCACAGTTACTTAAGACCGACATTTTCCAGTGTTAGCAGGCTCTAGTGGTGCTGACAGTTGGGAGAATTGAATTTGCAAATTTTTTTTTTGTCATCTAACATGATGGATATTAAGTTTGACCTCAAGCTCAGACTTGAGTTCAGTGGCATAGATATCCGATAACTAGATAGATAGCTTGTCATTCATACTTTGATATAAAGATATATATGTTGATATTTACACCTTGACAATCAGATAGCTTGATAATCACACTTCAACATATAGATAGATATTCTGGCTTTAGAGGCTCTTGCAAGTACTTTAGCAGAGCTTAATCGTGGCATTGGGTTAAGTTATAAAAAGGAAAAAAAAAATTTTTTTTTTTAAATTTTGTTATGGATGCCAATTTCTGAAAGGAAACTGTATATCTTGTTGGTGTCTGTTTCTTCAAAGACTCTTTTGAGGCTCTTATGGTTATAATATTTTCGTCTTATTTTGGAGATGGTTCTGCACTTCAACATGAAGTGCTCCACTGTGAGTCTGCTTACGGAGGAGCATTTTGGAGGATCCATCCTCTTCAGGATGTAAGAGTGAGTCAAGTGTGAATGTTCTATGTGTAGTCTGGTCATAAGAACTTGTTTTCTTCGGGTATCATCTGAGTTCCTTTTCCATTGTTCTATTGTAGTTTTTATTTGATGGAGTTTATTTTTGGTTTGGTTTTCCCATATTTTCTGCCATTTTTCCTTGATGAGTTTGTTTATTTCAGGTTTCAAATCTGTCTATGGTATTTTTATGTTTTTGTCTATGTTCATTTTTAGTGCGGATTTGGCTGCTGTGTCTGCTTTGTCTCCTCCTTTGATTCCAATTTGGCTCGGGATCCAGCTGAGAATGATGTTCTTTTCTTCCATATAGAATAGTTTGTGGAGGATGTTATTAACTTGTGGGTTATTCAGTGTTTTCCCTTTCAGGGATGTTAGTACAGATAGTGAATCGGAGAGAATTATAAAGTTTTTTTGGGTGCTTCCCGAGATTACGTCTAGTGCAAGGCTGATTGCATGTGCCTCTGCAGTGAAGATTGAACTTCTTATTGGGAGATGTTTCTTTTTAGTGATTTGTTTTTTTATTGCTGCACATCCTATTTTATTTAGACTTTTTGATCCATCCGTGTATATCTTACAATAGTTAGGGAATTTTTCCATTAATTGTTCGTAATTATCCTTAAAGGTGTTAGGGTGAGTTTGTTTTTTGAGAGGATTGTATAATTCAAGGATTATTTTAGGTTGTTTGATTGTCCATGGTGGGATGTTGGGAGTTTTAGTTTCTTGGATATTTGATATAGCAGAGGGTTTTATTCTAAGGTAGCATGGCATTTCCTGTTTGCTGATATTGTTTATAGTAATTTAAGTCTCGGGTAATATCTTTGGCTATATTTGTTGGGAGTGATTTTATTTTAGTGTAGTACTGTAAGGCTAATTTTATGTATCGTAGGTGTGTGTGTGGGGGTTCACCTGCTTCTATGTATAAACTTTCTACTGAGTTATGTTCTAAAGGCCGCTAGTACTAATCTAAGTCCCTGGTGGTAGGTAGCCTCAAGCATTTTTGAGTAAGATTTTCTGGTAGCCCCATATATAAAACTGGCGTAGTCAAGTTTTGATCAGAGTAAAGATCTATAAAGTTTAATTAGGTTTTGTTTGTTCGCTCCCCATTCATTGTGGGCTACTACCCGAAGGAGTTGTAGAACTTTGCTGCATTTTGTTTTCAGATATTTCAAATGGAAAATGAAAGTAAGTTTTCTGTCGAAAATTACTCCGAGAAATTTGTGTTGATTCACTACTGGAATTTCTGTTCCATTTAATTTCAAACATGGGTCGTTGTGGAACTTTCTTAGTTTACAAAAATGGATGCATTTTGTTTTTGTTTCTGAAAAAGTGAAACCATTTTTTGTGGCCCATTTTTGTATTGCGTTAATGCATTGCTGAAGTTGCCTTTCAATTTTATTTATATATCGGGATTCTATAAGAAAGTCGTCAACGTAGAGGGAGTATCTAACTCCTGGACTTCAGGTTTTTGTTATGGAATTTATTTTGATGCAAAAAAGGGTCACTGAAAGAATGCATCTCTGAGGGACTCCTTTCTCTTGTCCTTGTGTATCTGAAAGTATGTTGCCTATTTGTGCTTGAAATTTTTGATTTCGTAAGAAATTACTGATGTATTCCGTTAGTCTAACTCTTAGTCCTAGATCATATAAATCTTTTAGGATGGCATACCTCCATGTGGTATCATATGCTTTTTCTAGGTCAAAGAACACTGCTATTAATTGTTCTTTTTGGATAAAAGCTTCTCTGACAAAGGTTTCTAGCCAAACCAAATGGTCTAAGGTACTTCTCTTTTTTCAGAAAGCACATTGATAATCCCTGATTAAGTTGCTTTTTTCTAGATACCAAGTTAATCTGTGAATTAACCATCCTTTCCATTGTTTTTCTGAGGCAGCTCGTTAGCGCTATTGGCCTGTAGTTTCCTGGTCCTGAATCGTCTTTGCCAGGTTTCAGGATGGGAATGATAATAGATTGTCTCCACGGCTCTGGAAAGTGTGTTTTTTTTTTTTTGTCCATATGTTGTTCAGGAGATTTAGCAGTAGTTGAAGTGATTTGTTTGGTAGATTTTTATGAATTGGTAATGGATGTTGTCTGGTCTTACTGCTGTATCGCTAGCTTTTTATAAAAGATTCCTTTAATTCCTCTATTGAAAAAGGAAGGTTGTAGCTTTCATTGTTGTTGGAATTTAGTCTTTGCTTTTCAGCATTTTGTTTAACCTTGATGAATTTTTGGTTTCCATTTGTGAGTGATGAGTTTTTTGAGAAAGTAGTTGCAAATTCATCAGCAATGTCTTTTTCCTGGTTATTTTGTTGTTATTTTTTTTTGTTAAATTCCTTTGTGACATAACTTTGCCTGGAACAGACCAATGCCACATTTGCTGACAACAATTTGATCTTTGCTGGCTCAGTGATCAAACAACACAGCATAGACAGAGCAACAGTTTACACCAGAGTGACCAATCCAATGGCCAGTGGCATCATTTGATCAAGGTCCAACCAGCAGAGAAGTGTTATATTGTTAGTTGACATGATTCTGGTAAAGTCAAGCCAAAACAGAGCTGGTGAACTGACAAGAATAGCATCAAAGTTATTTGATGTAATGAAGAAAAATACTGAGCCAACACTGCAAATGTGCAGCTGCCACTCTGGATGAAAATGGGATAATAGTCATTCACAGGCACACCTGGAATCCAATGAATGACTTACTTTGTTAGGAAAGTTAGTCTGCCAATCAACAGCTAGAACAGCCATCAATAGTAAAGACCTTTTAGGAATGTTAGTCTATAAACCTGACATCTATGCATTGACAAAAGGGAAGTTAGAAGCTGCTGCTGCTTAGTATAATTTGAAGATAGACATCACCCACTACATGACCCTTGTAGATTGCAGTCCAACTTGTTACTTTGTATGGCAACCACTGGTTTGCCTGCACTCTGCACATGTCATAAGATAGCTGAAATCCATATTTTGTGAATGAATTCTTCCAGCTAAAATCCTCACAAACAGCTACATGTCTTTATGCCGTATACACTTCAAGGTTCCCCTGAAGAAGCGGGAAGTTTGCACTTTTAATGCACATATACTCCATCAAGAAATTGGATAGCAGAAAGCAGTGAGAGAAGTGTCTACTGAATTCATTCAGGAAACTGTTTACTGGTACAATGCAATCCTGAAATATAGGACTCTGAACATGACTGCACCTGACATCTATGAGTTTGACATGTCACAAAAGCTAGAGGATGCAATTTGGGTGAAAATGCCACATAACACATACACATCAGAATTCCCCAAAAGAAAGGTTACCAGGATTATTAACCTATAACTGATTATACATTACCATGTCAAAGACTTCCAACTTCATTTAAGTTTGAGCTCAGCAACAGATGTTAATGTTTCCTCCACAAGTAAAAGTGAGATTGAGTTAGATATGAATGAACAAGATGCTCAACAAGAGGCAGATGAAACTGTCATGAAAGAAACTCCTCCCTTGCAAAGGAGTATTAAAAAAAAAAAAAAATCAAAATAAAATTTTCATATTTCAAAAACATACCCTATGTTCACCATGTATAACATTGACCAAATTAGGAGAATGTGGAGGTGGAACACCTGGTTTGACTGGGGACTGACTGCCCCCTCTGCTGTTGCTGCTACTCCCACTCATCAATTGAGTACGGAATAATGCATTTGCTTTATTATTATCTTCATTTGCTGTAAAAAAAAAAAAAAAAAAAGAAAAAAAAAAGGGTAATTATTATAATAGGTTTAAAGGAATAAAAAACATAGCTACATGAAGATAAGATTTTAAAATTTTTATACAAATATTAATGGTACTTTTATTTAGTGAGCCAAAAAGTTTGGTTTATATTAAAGATAAAATAATTTTCCATATTAATTTTCTCCAACAACATATTTAGCGTTTTGTTCCACAGGCTTCTGCTATAATTCCATCCTCGTAAAACTGATCTTTCTAAGCAAAATACAACTATCTTTTGCAGTCTTCCAGAGAATTATTTTTTTTAATTAAGCAAATTATGTAAAAATTCTAATAAATGGAAATTTGAATCTGCTGAATATGGTGGATGAGTGGTTCATCAAAAAAACATGACTTCTAGTATTGTCGTAATGGAATATTATAAACTTTCCTTAACTAGTTCTATACACTTTTTAATTTGGAGTAGTATTTGTTCAAATCCTTTTCATCTTTAGAATGGGCTCATAGCACAGAGCATCATCATTTTGTCATGACTGGCCTTTGGTAAATGATAGAGTTTCATTTCATTTGTCTCACAATCTCTTGCAATATATATGTATTTCAGGATTCCTACAATTCTGTGTAAAAAAAAATTCCAGGACTTTTCAAGGATTTTTCTAGGACTATGTTAAGAAGTTTCAAGGACTAAAACTGGCATGTGTGCACACAAATTGAATGGTCATCAATTTCAAAAACACAAACTTTGTGATTTATCTTTTAATAGTTTGACAGATGAGATGTTCAAAGAAAAGCTTCAGCTGATTCAAATAATTCATGTCACATAGAACAGTTGAAAGCAGTGAAGAAATACAAGTGTTAAAGGCCAAAACACAACTGAATGCAGCAGACCTAGTTATGTTACACATTTTGTATAGCATTCTACACAGTTTGGAGTTCTACTACACTTGAAAAATTTCAGCTATCTAGACTACTCATGGTTTGTGAATATCACAAAAATTCTTGATTACTACATTTCCTGTGAAGTTATGTATAGTGGTTTTAATAAACAGAACTACAAATAGCAATTTTTACAAAAGACTACACATTTTAGCTACCCCTACTACACATGGCTTTTGTTGCACATGGCACAGAACATGTTAAAATTTTTTTAGTTCATCTAGTTTAGCACTCAGCTCCTCATCCAATTTTGATATTTCTATGAACTTCTCTATAGATCTTTTGGTCTGCTCAGCTTTATTAGCATAGCTGTCAGCTGACTTGAGCAATTCTTGTGTGCAACTTTCAAGCTTGTGTTTGTTGGTCTTCAGTTCTTCAATTTCCATAAATAAGGATTTCCATTTTTGCCCGGCTTCTTCTTCCTACCTTTTTTCATTTCAGCCTCGAGGTATTGGTTGTATGCTGTCTCTCATTGGAAGCACCACAGAGAAGAGTGATGGGAACATTCCCAGTACCTCCAACTGTGGCCAAATAGTCCATGATAATGCACTGTCTGACCAGACCCTGCTGTTTCATATTGTCAGTGAAAATTTCCTTATTGATAGAGAAACCTCTCTCAACAGACTGCTGGTACTCCATGAGAGAGTACCAGAAATCTCCAAACAACTTTCCAGTTTTTAATATTCTTTGTTGCTAGACAAAGAAAAGTAGAACAAAGTGTCCAGACAGTCTTCATGCTTGCTGAAATTCTTGAAAGCACTTTTTCAGCAGCTTCTTCCTCGAAATTTTTGTACTGATTGATTATGTTATCACAATCAGACTTGCGGACTTGTTTTCTGTCCATCATATAGGAAAGACATCTTTTTAGACTGTCTTCTGTAGGAAATTATTTTTCACAAATGGATTCAGGGTTCAGTCATGCAAGTGACCTTACAAGAGGGTATCTAAGAAGATTTTGCCAGAAGTTTCTCAATGATGAATATTGTCTTGGTTGCAATTCTGCATGCAAACAGATCTTTTGTTGACACAATTCCTTTTTTGGATAAATTTTACATAGCCCTGTTCGCTAGAAATCCACACTTGATCTTTGCAGCGTCTTTATGCATGTTTGGGTTTGACAAAATTCTTACAAATTCATTCAGTTTGGAAAATGTAATTATCTTTTTAGTGTGCTCTTCTTTTGCAAATCTTAAGAGTTTTCATGATCATGCTAAAAAGATTATCTGCAAGGAATGGTTTATCGCTCTGATATTTTATCAGAAACAGTTCACAATGTCTTTTGAAACAGACACAAAAATCTGCAATTTCACTGGAAATAAAATGCCATTCACATTTGACACTAATGCAGGGAAGGACTTTTAAGTTCACAAATTTGATGATGTCTGGCCAAATGTCTAGGATTCGTTCATATGTTTGTACATTTTCAAGCCATCTATAGCAGAAATAAAAAAAGTAAAAGGGACAGGATTGCCAGATTGAACTTTTCAAGGCAAGCAAGTTTTAATATATTTCATCATTTTTTTCACACAACAAAAGCTAGAGATACAGTTTATTATTAGCCTGCAAACTTTAAAAATAACATTCCTCTTATTTTTTTCAAAAAGGCACATTTTCTATTCTATCATCCTTCCCATCTACATTTTCTCTGAATTAAATTTGATTCTCAAATGTGTTACTTTTGGCAATAATTTAGACAAACATAGCTTACACATACATGGGATGTGTAAAGTATATTTTTCTGCATGAACAAAACCCCTGACTAGAGATCAGAAGGACTTTTTACTTTTGAAATTGATATGTGAATAAAATTTCTTCAAATTAAAAAACAAAAAAAAACAAAACAAAAAAAAACACTGATCAATTTTTCAAGATTCTACTAAAATGCATTGTATTACTGTAAAATAATAAATTATTTTACAGTAATACAAATTCAATGAGTGTGAATTAATCCACCTTTGATGGAGATGTTTACTTGTCTCTGATGCCTTTTATCTTTGATTTTCCTCTTTTTTTGTTGAGTGAGGTTAGCAGCTAGGAGAAGACATGCCTTCATATTCTTTCTACATTTCTTTTTTGTCACCGAATCAAAAAAAATATAAGTAACTACATGAACTAGTTTTAATCAAGGAAACAAACCACTAGTTGCAATAATTGCCAATTATTACTGATGACTAAAAAACACTTTTCTTAAAGGACAATTTTAAATGGTAAAAAAGCCAGATTTCCAAGATTTCGCTTTTTGACTTTCATGAATTGAGAAAAAAGATGTGTGGGCAACTCAATTTAGAAAAAAAGGTCCCATTAATTTTACAGGACTTTTCAAGCTTTCCAAGTTTTGTAAACCCTGATATTTTTCAATGCCCATCACAATATATATATTAGAAAAAAAAAAAAAAAAAAATTTTCTTTTTTCTGTTGAAGTGTCATATTGCACATGAAAACATGGTCCAATATTTACTTATTTTCTTTTTTTACATTTAAATTCTGTCAAAGCCACACAGTAACATGACTAAAATCATGTAAATTATTTTTAATGCTTGACTTTGTTTTCAGTTATTTATCATTCAGCAATTTCTAGGACAATACTTTGCAAATCACTTTTGTCACAATACCTTTTCCACAGTGTATAAATTCTTTTGTATTTGAATTGTTATTTTCACATTAAAAAAAAAAAATGAATTATTGCATGCTTTTTGCCATTATCAATAACAGAATCCCCAAATGAGCTAGTTATTGACAAAATATTTTGAAAATTCTTTATATGACAGCTATCACAATACAATCAAAAAGGCTCTTTCTAAATGAAGTTATTCCCAATGCCATCTAACAACCAATTCAATATACTGAGTACATTGTAATAATGTGTGTGTGTGTGTGTGTGTGTACTGGGGCAGAGAGGTTAGTGGGACAGTAAATCTATTGTTCAATAAAGTTAATGTGTTTATTTCAAAACTTAAAACATAATATATTTTCAATGTTGAATGTAGTACATGGTTGGGTAAAATGTTATAAGCCCAACCCACTTCCCAAATTCTGATCAAATGACAATGACCAAACATCAATTTGTTTTTGGAATTTCTTCTTTATTGGGCTGAGAATTTTTCAGCATGCCCTTCTAGTTGCAAATTATGAATTGAATTTGAAAGACATATTAATTCTGATGACAAATTAATTTCTTATGTAAAAATTACATTTCCTTTTGACATAAATGGAAATATTTTTAAAAGTTAGGATTTTAGTTTCCTCTTAAATGAGTTGCCTAATTAAAAATAAACTAAAATTCTAACTTCTGCCCCGTTAAAAAAAAAAAAAAAAAAAAAAAAAAAAATGAAAGAAAAAGAAGTACAAAATGATTTACATATTGACAAATAGTTGTAAATTGTAATCTGAAATAGTAAAAATTATTAAAATAGATGAAGAAAAAGAAATTGTTCAGCTGGGTGTTATTTCAAACAAGCATTTACTATAATAATTATATAAAAAAAAAAAATCCCCAAAAAATATTTTCTATATGAACAAAAAAGAAAGCCATTCATTTTGAGCAATGATTGTATCGACAATTTTTATATAAAGCATTCTAAAGTAACTTATAAAGTAATGAAGATTTTTCCAAGCATTCATAAAGAATTTTCCAAATTATTATTGAATATATAATGCAACCCTAATTCCAATGTAAACAGGTTTACCTATCATTCAGTTCACACACCTCCCCAGTTTTTTTTAAGTGAGTAGAGGTTTATCCCTTGTTTCCTGGTTAGGATTGGGTTTCCAGTTCCTTCTAAAGTTTTTTTTAACTATCCTTTTAACATCTCCATCTAAAACTCTGAACTTATATCTACTATTTTTTTTCTGCAATACAAGTAGATAAGTTCGTATATTGTCCAGTTCACACTCCTCCCCAATCTTTTGAACAGAAGTAGATGTTTATCCCTTGTTTCATTTTTAGGATTGGGCTTCCAGTTCCTTCTAAAGTTTTTGTTCCTTCTTTTTTACTTCTGATGGCCTCTTGTGTCTTGATTGCATTATCACTTTGGTTGGAGTTGTGCCTTTTACATTGTAACCCTCTACCTCGAGTGGTTCTTGAGCCTTGTACAGAGTGAACATCATTACAAAAAAACTCAAAATAATTACATCTCATCTATAATTTGATCCTGTATTTACAAAATTTAAAAGTGGTCTATTTTTAATATCATTCTTGCTCAATATTTGGCATTGATTGTGGTAACTCCAAAGTAAAATAGACTTTAAGTTAGATATAATGAATATCTACCAGGTCAAATGAACAACACAATGGAAGGACATTTTTAAATTAAATGATAACTAAACAGAGTAAGAACAGCTTTTTAAGGGTTATTCATCATGTTGGAAAGTTATTGATATTTTAATTTCAGATGTATAAAGACTGTTATGGTAAGGATATAAACCTCAAAAGAGAAACAAGATATTATAAACTTATTGAGTGATAAGAACAACACTGGAAGCTGAAAAAAATCAAAAGAGATCAGAACAAGAAAAAAAATAAAATAAAATATTTGAAGAAGCTGATGTTATGAATGTAAACAGAGTGAAAAAGATGCAGAATATTAAGAACACTGGCTAAAGATATGAAAACAAATAAACAACCACCTTCAAGTAAACATCAAAAGGCAAAACATGTTAAGTTGGATGTAGTAGTATATGAAACCTAATTTCCCAATTTTTAGTGATAAATACAGAGCTTCATTGGATGGACTTCATGGTTGGGATTGAGATTGGGTCCTTCACAGAAATAGTCAACCAAAATGACTTAGAAGACAATGGGGGTAGCAGAGTAATATTTTGAGCTTGGTAATAGAATCAGGAGTAAATGATGAAAATTATTCTAATTTTTGAGTAATAAAGAAGCTTTAATCTATAGAGTATATTTGTATCAGAATTCCACTTCAGAATTCATAGAAGACAAATTGATCTTCAAAGAAACTTTACAATAGGCCCCACTGTATATAGCTTAAGATCAATATACTCATTTCTTTTTGTAATGTCACAGGAAAGAGACAGATTAAGTTTTTTATGTGTAAAGATAAATTAAGAACTAATTAAGAAGGCTAATTGGTTCTGAATTGATCCACTGAAAAGAGCAAACTAAAACTCAACTAGTATCAATTAGGTATACCCCAACTAACACTTTCAACTAATTAGATGAGCTGGGAACATCAAGTGATGCTGTCCAGAGGGTTAGTCTTATATATAGCTAACCAGAAAAATCTTAAAATTTAAATATTTATTTAAAATACGAACCAGCAAAATGATATTCTTGTGAAGTCAACCAGAGAATTGGGTTGAACAAATTAGGTCAGCTGACCCAAATTGGCTGAAAGAATATTTTGTCAAACAGATTTTGGATTAATTCATAAATAAAATGTTGTGCAGCACTAAGATTATTTGCATAATAAAACATGACATCTCCTAAACAAGTTGTTATATTTTAAATAAGGATAGTTATTGTAAGCTGAATCTCACAACATATTAATATATTTGAAAAGTTTGACAAATAAGTCTTACACAAATAAATCTAAGTGACAATCTAATAGTGGAATGAGCCATTGTCAAATTGGATTAAAATTGAGAATTATGTTTCAACTGAATTGTATGATTTAAAAGTTCAATAATGATGGAAAGAAAATCAGGTTAAGTTGGACTATTAAAAAAATTGTTGCAAAGTGGCTGAGTACAGTATCTGCATGTTGCACAGTTTATTGCTTTCTTAAACTCATCAACATTTAACAAAGAAAGCAAATGAACACAGTTTTTGCACACTTTTCAGACAAATCTTCATATGTTCATCCAAAAGTTTTGTTTATAGACTACTATTTAAAATTTTTAATAGTATGGAATCAAGTGAGAGCACAAGTTGTTCAAAGCTTCTGGAATGCTTGCGAATATTATTAGAATAATATTCATCCAATAAGAGACTTCTCCCAATAATTAAGGATTGTTATTTGAGCAAAACCATTCCTTTATTTTATAGGACAGAATTTCATAACATAGTGAAAAATACTCTAGAATTACGGGTAAAAAAAAAAAAAAGGATTATGTGACTCAAGTCAGTAAATTGATTTGAGCCCTATTACTCATTATATTCAATATTCACTGATAGGATATTTAAAACTGTAAAATAAATAATAAAACATCCAGAAAATCCTTTAGTAAAAATGTTTTGAATATCTCACTAGTTAACAAATTTGGTAAACTTGGTAAGCTAGAAAGGGTAAAAAGCTAAAATTCAGCTAATGAGGAGTTTACCAATTTGTATAACATTCTTAAATTAAAATCATTGAATAAATACTTTTGCTTAAAATAAAGATATTTATTTACTTTTGATATGGTTTTGTATGTGTATCATAAGAGAATCGAGCAGCTTGCCTTTCATTCTTCCTTCTTTGTTTACAAGTATTAATATGAAGACTAGATTCCAGAAGACAGAGTAAGGATCAATATTAATTATCCTTGCACATATAATTAGTCAAACTATTATGTATTGTCTATTGCAATTTTAAAATATGCACCTATCTGAAAATGTTCTAACCACAAAAATAAGGCAAGGGTACCTTCGTGTTCTTGAAATACTTCCTTTGAGTCCTTTTATAAATTTCATAAAAACCTGCCTGCAAAGTAGACTTTCAAGATTACTTTTAGTTGCTTGTCATATTCAGTTTATTTTTGTTTCAATAGTGAATTTAATTTTAGATAAGGCTCAAAGTTGTAAAGAACTAAATCCTGACTGTAGCAATATTAAAAGAGTGTTGTTGAAAACAAAAACAAAACGCCCAAACACATCCATGACATACAAATAATGATATTACAAATGAATGGCTGGATACTTTCTGGCAATCCCCAGATGATCTAATTCTTTTATTGTCAATTTCTAATTCCCTTTGATTGCAGTCTGTATGCATTCAACATTTTTCAGAATTCTGCTTGTTGGAGGCTCTCCAGAACTTTGATTGAATCATTGGTACCAAATTTTAAGACTTGTGTAATGTGTATTCATTATACAAAATGCAAAAGCAATGGTGTTTCAATGTTGACCAAGTAACCCTTTGAAATTGTGTTCACATATGTGCAATGAAGAACTGTTTCCAAAACAGCTGGTTACTTTTTCGAAGGACCTTTCATCACATTAATAAATAATGTGCATAATTGATTTTGAGCAGCATTATTAATAGAATTTAACACCCATTATTTTGTGTCAATTTCCTTTTACATGAAAGCTACATTTTTCAAGTAACTAGATAATTCTAAGAGAACTAATTTTTGGCTGTAAAAAAAAAAATTTTTTTTTTTTTAGAAATCTTTGTTTTAATTTCTTTTTTTAAAATAATTTATAAAAAAAAAAAATTTTTGTTTTTAGGTATTCTTATAATAATATTTCTTAGGTAAACTACAGCTGTGCAGATAGCCTCTTTCAAATTATGAAATGGGCATGTTTTGGTAATACATGTGCAGCAGTGTTGAGAATATAAAAAAAATGAATACCTCTTCCAGTTTTCACTTATTTATGAAATAAATGCAAATATAATCACCACTATATTCCTTTAGTTTTTTCATAATCTGGGAAGTGGTTGAAGCTAAGAACTCTTTTATGTATTATATAAATAAATAAAACGCCTTGAATATATGACAACTTACGTCCGACAGTGGCCCGAAATCTAGAACAAAGTTGCATGGTTTGATGAGGAGGTACAACTTCTTCCTTGATAGTATTATACTGAGACTGCTGCTGTGGTGTTTGTTGACTGATGGGCTGTGGTGGAGGGGCACTAGTTTGAGGCATATCATTTTTGATGACTGAAAGAAAAAATTGCAAAATTTGTGAAAAAACAAAACAAAAAAAAGCCCTTAATTTAAGGAGAAAATTAATTAAAAAACAACTTCATATTTTTCCATTTTAGGTGCATTATTACTAAGTATATTCAGTTAGTTACAACTAAAATGCCCCCCCCCCATTTCATTTATTTGTTTTTTTTAAAAGATCGAAATGAGAAGTATATTCCAAATGTAGAACTTTTAGCATTCAGCACTTTCTTAGATTTGTGCTGAATCTTATCATTTGAACATTTCATTTTTTTTATTTTGCAACAAATTGTATTATAGATCAATTTATCTAAAAAAACGTTCCTTTGGAGGATTGGTGCGATTGAGTCTCTTGCAGTGTGCCTCACTAGCGATGGTTTGAGGTAATGCTTTCTCCATCATTGTGGCTGGCCAGAGGATAGTAAAAAAAAAAAAAAAATTGTTTATAGTTACTTTAGCAAGATAGAATTTGCATTCTCAGTTAATCCTTGTAAAAGTGACGTCATGTTTCTTCAGAATAAAAGTTATCAAAAAACTATTTTAAAATGGATATTGATCTTTATTTTTTCCATATACATTTACCCTTATTATTGTTAAACAGCATTTGTATATTAGAGCTTCCAAATATAAAAGTTCACCTTGTGAATCAACTCTTCTACTGGGCTAAATTTTTTTTCTGTAATATGCCTGGTGGACCAATGCTACTTTGATTCTACAAATTCACTCTTGTAAAATTGAATATTATGCTTTTGACAATTGAATCAGAAAACTTCCTGTTATTGGCTCAAAAATTTAAAACCTGAATTGATAATAGCGTATTTGATGATACTGAGAATCAAGATCAGAAAGCAATATCTGTATGACGCTTTATGTCTCAAAAGTCAAAGAATATAGTTATAACAAGAAGTCATGATAAAGATAAAACAAGTATCTACAAAGTTAATTTTCTGATTTATTAAAAAAACAAACATAAACATAATCTGGGATGCAAGCACAGGTTAACAGTGGCTTGGAAAAGGAAATAAATACTGTAACTGATACATATGAGACTGATGTCAAATTCAAAAAAAGATTCTCCTAACCTTTGCCTTTCTTCCTATGGCATCAATATTCAACAAATCTGTAGCAGTGGACCTACAAATTTGGAGTAAGTACTACTTTCTAGTAATTGTAGATTGAATTACTGGAAATATGGAAGTATGAATTTTTAGAATTGAGTCTTGACAAAAGTATTAAGAAAAATATAAGTAATATAAAATGTGATGAAGCATTTTCATTAAATCTCCATCTAAAAATTAAAATGTGAACAAACACTAGAAAGAAACCATTTTTTTGTGAATTTATAAATATGCATTTTCAAATAGAATTTGATGGTCTACATTTGGTAAGGAATCATGTTCTTGTGAAGTATGCAGTCCTGCATTAAATACATGCCTGGAAGGAAGCTATATATTTGTGAAGTGTGTAAATCAGCATTTACACAGACATCAGTCTTAAACATACATACACAGCATACTACGGAGAAGCACTGTTCTTATGAAGTCTGTCAGTGTAGATTTTCTATAATTTCCGCCTTACATGAGAGAGGGACTTTATTTTCTCAGAATATACTGTTGAAGGAACACGAATGTGTATGTACAGAAGGCAAGAAATCATATGAAGTGTGCTACTGGTCCTGATAGCATTAACTTTCAGTTCAATCCTTTATTCTAAGTCTTGCTACTACAAAGAAAATGTGTTTATATGTTAAAGATTAAATTCCTATATAAAACAAAAAGCTTTTTAAAGTCAATACTCACTCTGTAAAAGATCATTGAGATCATTCTCATGTGTTTGCTGTTGAGTGGTGAGTTGTGCTTGAGTAGACACTGCAGCTTGCCGTGAGTGTGGTGGTGGTAGTGGTAAATCTGTCTGTTGCTGTTGTTGTTGCTGTTGCTGTGATTGTTTCTCTGAGCGAGCATTGCAGAAGTTGCGAATTTCCTGCTTCACATATTGTGATTTAGAGGAGGTATTAGCTATAGCAGTTCCCAATTCGCCACTTGACGTAGATTTTAAGCTGACAGAAAGAAACAAGCATGAAGAAATGGGGATTACTAAAATAATTAAGTAAAAATTTTTCTTAGTTTTTTTTCATTTACTGTCAACAGTATAAATATTCAAATATGTATAAAATCATGTTGATACTAGTATTAGAAGTTAACTGTGTTAAGATTATAAAAATGACAGTTGTTTTTATACTATATACCTGAATGAGAGATATATAAAATGATTTTGTTATCTTTTAAAATATATGAAATTTTGGCATCACTTAGACTGATTCACTCATAAAAAATTAGGGAATCTTTGAAAATAATTTTTGTAGACTTTCTTTAAGCCACAAAACTTCACAGAATAAGAATAAAAAAAAAAAAGAATGAAAAGATTTTTATCATCTTAGAAGGTTAGGAGGGGATCCTATTCATAAAATCAATACAGTGGAAAATCGATCCCTGACTTTTTGCAGAGTTACTAGCACTTTATTTTTTCCTTTACAAATATCAAGCTTGAAACTGATTACATCTGCATAGGAAAACACATTCTTTTTTTTTTATTTTACAAAAAGATTTCTTTTAAAGATTTTTCTTTTTAAGATTTTCTTAAAATAAAACACATAAAAATGTATATATCTATTTGTTTTAATGGAGATAATTTTATGTGTTTTAAGAAAATATTTTAAACAATAGTAATTTTTGGCAAAATACTCCCCCCCATTTTTTATATTAAAAAAAAAAAAAAAAAAAATATTTTTTTCCTTCAAATTTTCATGATTACAATTAGCACAAAAAAATGTTATTTTTTGTTAGAGATTTAGTTTGTTTGTTTTTAACAATAGTTTAAAATTAGTTAACCTTCTACCCATTTATTATTGCAAATAATTTTCTGTTATTAAACTACTACTGATTTTATAGTTTAAATGCATGACTGCAAAATTTATACACTACTTTTTTCTTTGATATGTGCTTTTAAATATAAAGAAAGTTATAATTAATGAAGAATTTTTTTAATACACTATTTAAAAAGAACTTTATTTCTTACAAAAGTTAAATCCTACAGAAAATCTTTATGTAAGGTGTAAGGTAAGTTATATTAATAAAATTAAAATGCTGATAAGAACTAGGCTTCATAATATTTATTTATTGCTACCAACATTTTAGCTTTTAAGGAGATTGGCAAAAACTATTTTAAAATGTAAGCAATCTTAAAAGTGTGCATAACTCCTAGTACTATACAGTTTTGATGCACAATATTTAGAGATACTATCCTTTAAACCAGTGCTTCTCAAAAATTTTATAGCTGCTGCCCACTTGGCCACATCCCTAGTACCCATCTCTATACCAATTACAAGGACACTTCTTGGTACTAGATATGCTACAAATTAAAAAAAAAAAAAATAATCTCACACAAACGAACATATTGCTACACTCACAAATCCAGTATATTGGCCCCTGCAGATGTCAACTATTCAGATAATGTTGGCAAGATACAAACAACTTCATACAACAAAATAAAATGAATGTTCATGCATAACACTTATGTTAATTTTATTATTTGTAAAGCAGATGTGTTCCTTTTTGTGAAGATAAAAATTATTCATTAGTTCTAATGCCACTCTGCAGTCCTCTTTTTCCTCTCATTGCCTCCCCTAAGATCTTTGTCAGCAGCTACAGTAGTATTTCTGCATGATATTTTCCAAGTAAACTAATATGTATTTTTTTAAAACTTATAATTTCTTGCTCCTCCTGATGTATCTGGTTGGGGTAGGTCAATTCAATAATTTTCATAGAAATACTTATGGGAAATTTCATCATTCTTTGACAGGAAGATTGTGTTCAAGCAATTCACAGGAGAAACTGTCATCAGATTCGACATGTTTTAACTCAGCTACAAAGAGCATCGTGATTAAGCGAGGATTTATTTTGCTTATTACAAATACCACCCTAATTAAAAACAACATAATTCTTTGTCAAATATACTTTGAGGGAATCTTGATAAATATTTTACCAGCTCAGTGGAGTCAGAACACAAAACTCCTCTTTATGTAATTAAGTGATTATGGCTTACAAATCTCAAAGTGTATGCATACACTTCTAACTTGAGTAGACCTATATCATTATAACTGGTTTATATCAAAGAATAAAGATAGTGTGACTTTTATATCAGACCTATTCATTCTTCAATATTTTCTAACAGAATTAGAGACAAAATCTTTGAAGAAAGGATATAGAAGAAATAACAATAAAAATGCTATAATTTAAGACTTTTTACATAAAGTGTAAATTCAACTGGAGTCAGAGTCTGTATAGTTTTACTCAGACTCCAGTGATCCCTTAATTGCTTCTGACTGGCACCACAGCCCTGTATATTACCAATTATAGATACACATGAAAAAACACTATATTACATCACTAACCTTTATTAAATCTGTTCTTAAAGAATCAAATGTATGTTTATCTACCACAACCAGTGTTATGTAAAAATGTCCTCAAATCAGCATGAGTACCACCACCAAACATAAATAATGTCTACTAGACACACAAATTTACATTACCATCCAAATCTCACATAACTAGAATTAAGATACACTTACATACATGAATCAATATTTGTTTTTTCACTTAAGTTTAGAATCCATTAAATTTTTAGGAGCTTTGAAAAAATGTCATCTCCCCTTGAGCTAATGTGGTTTAACAATTTAAATGCATGTGAAACCAATTTAACCAGCAAAAATCACACACACAAAAAAAAAAAAAAAAAAGCCAGAATTTTTTCTTCATATCTCATTCTCTGATGAAGCTTTAATAAAAGTGAAACACATAAGATCGATAAACCTTTATCCTATCATTCTGTCAGATTCCATTCCTTATTTCATCCCTATCTACACACACATTTAATCATTTCATCCCAAATAAGGCAACAAAGTCACTAAGTTGCAGGTGGTTACTGGTTTGGTTTGTTGTGTTTTACGGCATATCAACCTCAATGGATTATTTATTGCTGACAAAGCTTTTATTGCTGGTAATATTTTGTTTTGTCAAAAATCTATTTCTGGTAATATTTTTTTCCTTCAAAAATGTATTGCTCATAATAATTTTTTTCCTCAAAAGTGTATTGCAGGTTCAAAAATTAATTGCTGATAACTTCTTTTTTTTTAAAAATAAAAAAAGAAAAAGGTATTCCTGGTATTAAAACACATTTTTACTCTAGTTTGGGGGTTAACTATATGCCCATAGCTGGGACCCTAATAGGTGCTACCACCCCAGGTCAGGGTGGACCTGGGAACACCAGCAATTAAGAAGTGGTTCCACGCCCCTCAAAATCTCCTGATCAGAAGCCTTGCTGCTGGACGTAGTTTATCGTCTTACCCAGGACATGGATGTAGTTTATTGTCATACCCAGGACAGGGTGGTTACTGGATGTGAAAGAATATATAAGAAAACATTATTAAAAGAAAAGAACAATAAAAGAATAGAAATTAAGACAGAAGATAACAATTGACATTGCATTAATATTTGGAGATCAAACTTGACTGGAAAGCAAGAATCCAGAAGAGAGTTCCACAAGCAAGAAGAGAAATTGTTAGCATAAATTCATAAAGTCTAGGTACCAAAAAGGAAGTTCATTAGAACAATTACCATGGAAGCATTTATAGAAAAGCCACAGGGAAGCTATATCATTATGGTGGGAAAGGTTCAGTTGTATATTTGTTTTGGATCTTATCAAGGATCTCTAAATATATAACAGGAGTACCAGACAGCAATATTTTAAGCATAAACAAATGGTAGACTTATAAATATGCAAGAGAGATTTGAGTGAAAAGAAATTGTCTAGCATGACACAATGAACCAACTTTTCCAGTAGCAGATATAGCAATTGATTCAATATGATCTTTCCACTTTGTGTTAGTGGAAAACATTAGTCTGAGAAGACCGCAATGAATCCTTCTTCTGGAAGTTAGCATTAGTCATGGTGATAGAAGGCAGAAAGGGTTCTTTCAGATGATTAATAGAGAGCAGTTTTGTTTTGTAGGCACTAAAATTAACAAGCCATTCCGTGTCCCAGTTAACAATAAAATGTTTGTACTTTATGATACAAGTTACCAATTTGACCATATTGAACTGATCAAGACAGGAGTAAATAATTGTGTCATCAGCATAAATACAGAGTTGAGAACTGATGTCATCATGAAGGTCATCAATGAAAATACCAGCAATACATTATATTAAAAAAAGGAAAAAAAAAGAAAAAAAAAAAAAGATAAAAGACCAACAATACCTATCTATAGTAAAATGACCAATAATACATTGTATCTATGGTTAAAGGCATATAATTGCATTCAAAATATTTACATTTCAGCATTAAATTGTTTTTATGAGGTTTTGACAACTATCTTGATAGACTAATGTTTGGAAATTTTTCTTACAGGGTACATATCTGTAAAAATTACTTGAATATATAAGTGATTTTAAAAAAAACCCAAAAAACTATTCAGTAATCTTAAAATATTAGGAAAATATTCTAAGTAATTTAATGTTTTAGAGAATTTTAGGTACTTTAATATAGCTATTGTTCTTATTTTCTGATAATGTTGTATATTGACATGCATATTTACAAAAACAGCATGTTTATACACAATTTTTTTTTTTTTTTAAATTCCATTTAAAATACTGGGGGAGGGGACATCGCTGAATTGTTGTAAGTTTTACTTAACAAAATCACCTAATTGCTGCAAATTAATACAGAAATTTAAAAGATTTAAAATTTTATAAATCATTTTAATTAAAAAAAAAAAAAAAAAAAAAAAAAAAAAGAAAAAGAGAACAATTCTTGCAAAAATTCTTTATTGATCAAAAAAATGTTTTTTCTTAAGACAATAGTATCCATAATATATCTTAATCATAAAAGCAATTTAAAGCTTTTTTAATTAAATTTCTTAGTTTTATTGCATATTTATTTCAGGATTCAGAGCAGATTTTTGGTAAACTGGTAAAAAAAAAAAAATTGATGATTTAAATTCGC